TAAATTTAAAAAAAATATTTTGTGATTACATTGGAGATCATCTGCTTGTGTGTCTTTTATGGAAATGTGGACATTTTTTAAATGAATATTTTACAAAAGAGATTCTTATACAAATACAAAGTTTCTTTTCTTTTTTCCTTTCTCTTCCTTTTTTTTCCCTTTCTGCTCAGGGATGTTGGTACAGAAAGTGAGTTGTAATCAAAGGTTTTGCTTTGCATCTTGTTTTTTATTTGCATTCCCATTGAGGGGAGATGTTGCTGAGTTAGCATTCTGTCCCTGCTGCTTGTTCACTATTAATAAGCAGCAAATTAGGAGTTTATTGAGGCAAAAGTCATAGTTAATGGTTGGTTCATCGTAAGAATTGGACCTTAAAATAATCTTAATCTGCAGCTAAAAAGTTAATTTTATTGTTATAACACCCCTGAGCTTTTTAGGCATGAAGCTTGTAGTTCCAATTCAGTTTTTATGTATTTTATTTTAGAAAGTCTAATAAAAAAATATATATTATAAAAAAAAAAAATGTAAAAAAAGGAGATGTTGCTGAGTTAGCATTCTGTCCCTGCTGCTTGTTCAGACTAATACTCTGTTGCATCCACTGAAAATAGGCCAATTTGTGAGCAAACAGGCAACACAACACGCCCACAGTAGCATGCACCAAAGGGCTTGGTCCCAAATTATCCCTCTGCAGTGGTATTTATTTAGCAATGCAGGTTGCAATTATGATTTTGTTAACACAGCAAAGTTAGCTTTTTTTGCAATTAAAAATATTCTTTGAATTTTAACTAGTATTTGTTGTCCCTTTTATGTCTGAGTGCATGAACACTCGCTAGAAGAGTTTGTACACTCTTGTGAATTATCAGGAGATACAGAAGAAAAACTGCTGATTAGCAGCCTGCTAAGAAATACTTTCATACTGAAAACTTCCACTAGGTGACAGCAACTCCTAGTTTATACAGAAAGCCGATCGTCTGCATAAACCTTTAGTGAATTTGCAAATACTGGAAATGTACATCCACAATAGTGCATGTGTATAAAATTAGAAATAATAAAATTTAAAATCCCCTTTGTCACTTCTCTGCGGTCACAAGGGATTATAAAATATCATATAACTGAGTCAAAGGTCATGTTTCACCATCTGTGGTGTTACTCAGCTCTGTCCAAAATAGCAGCATAAACCTCTACAGTCTGAGTTCACACTTTGATGTCATAATGTCACAAAGACTGTCAGGTATAGTCAACATCAATGCAGGCTCAGAAAAACTGCTTTTAGGGCACATAGTGGTCATAAAGGGTCCATTCTTCAAAATGACAAACAAGACAACCTTTCTCTGTCGAGAATTTAGGCAGTTGACTTGTTGCCTCGCTGGCCTGTCAGGCAATTACTTTGCAGGCAGCGTTTGGGCACGTATAGGTATCTCACAAAACTGGACAAGCTTCTGAGGAAGCATAATTTTTTAATTAGAACATTTTTAGTGATGATGTAATTTTTCTCTTGATAGCAAAATTGAGAGAGGTTTGGTGATAACTAAGTGTATATTTAATTACTACTACAATACTAATTTCTTGCCATAAAATCAAAAGTTCAAAATATTGTTAAAAAAAACAATACTTTTTCAAATACATTTACACACAAACTCACCACCAACTGCAACTGTCAGACACCATTTATGTTTAGCTCAACTGTCACAGAATTGAGTGCACTGTATAGGCAGTGAAGCATAAATCTGCTGCTTCCAAAAATCAAGACCACCAAATCACCGTTTAGAACAGGGCCTTAGAATTACATTGATTCAGCATAGTCAAACACAATGCCTGCAACGCCTTTCCACCAGCGTAGGATGAAATATCTGTCCTTTTAAATATTATAAAGGAGGTTGGTAAAGGAGAAACAAGTTCATCATTAAGCAGTTTCTGTAATGTATCTTCTGTTGTGCTGAGCTGCAGTATATCAAAACCAAGTCAATCAGTAAGAGTGCTCAGCAAGTGACTTGCAGTGCTTTTGTCAATATAATATCATCAGAGGGCAGGTCAGGGACGACGATATGATGATGTCTTATGAGCAGCTAATGTTCTCTCTCTCTCTCTCTCTCTCGTCTTGATACAGCAGGATGAAGGATGGGATTGCACTCACTTCATTAAAGTCCTGCTGCTCCACACGCTGTGATAACCAGCTGTGATTTCCACCGTCAATTTGTTTTAACCTTTTCAAACATGACGGGGACATTTCATTAAATTCATTTCATTTAATCACAATTGATGAGATTGCATGGAATCAATTAAGTCACATTGTTGTTACCGTTTCTTTCTCTCCATCTCTCGCTGTCTCCATGTCCATCTTTCTTCCGCGATCTCTTTCTCCCTTCTTTTGCTCACAATATTGCAGCATTCATTTTTATTTCAGCCTGAGGTGAGCCTGCCTAGTCAAATTGTGGGCAATCAGCCCAAGTAATCGGGTTTTATTTGCACAAGACCAAACAAGAGTTAGCTGTTAGGGCTTTGGCTGGGCGGTCTGTGCTGGAACAGATGAGGGGGCTGATCAGGGGCTCGTCTGAAAAGGTCAGTGCCGACAGGCTACACTGCTAATTGACGGGTTGCAAAATAGCTGCAAATCACAGACCCTTCACTCCCACTGTATGTGTAGACAATGTATACATCAAATACTTTTCCCTTAGAAGGAAATGTATAGCATACTGCATGTTTTCTCTTTCTTCTCTCTCCCTAGATCTTAGCTTTAATTTGTTTGTCAAAATGTCAGAATGGGGCTTTAAATCGCTGTGTTTTATCACTTTCATTTCTTTCTCTCTTTCTTTTTTTTTCCATTTTGAGCCATCATGCCTACAGAGCAAGAGGCCCTGACCTTGGAAAGAAGCATCTTAAAGTTCCTCTTAGTGAGAGCACATATAAAGCATGCATTAACCTTTCGCCAACCGCTGGATGAATTCATGCTAATGTACTAAAGTCTATTCTCTCAGAGAGGACAAGCAAAGCACAACATTCAATTTCATGCATTTCATCACCACACCTGCTTTTGTTTTTGTATGACATGTAGTAGGCTATGTTGCTCATAAAAAGATGATGTAATATAGTGCACAATGCACTGATGTTAAGGCCTAGAGATTGTTAAGTAGATTCCTTGTGGCAAGGCATTAATTCTTGCTTAAAAAAAAAACTTTCCTTATACTTTTTAAAATACGTATAGGCTACTACTGTTTAAAATATTTTTTTTATGCTTTTGAAGGATGTCTCGTGCTCACTAAGGATGTGTTTATTAGATCACAAATAGAGTAAAAACAATAATACTGTGATATTATTGAGATGTAAAATAATAACAGTTTTCTATTTTAATATACTGTATTTTAAAATGTAATTTATTCCTGTGAGTGCAAAGCTGAATTTTCAGCAGGCATTACTCCAGTCTTCAGTGTCACATGATCTTTCAGAAATCATTCTAATATTGCTGATTTGGTGCTTGAGAAACATTTCTTACTATCTTAGATGAAAATGATTGTGCTGCTTCATGTTTTTAGGGAAACCGTGATATAGCCTATTTCTTCACAATTCTTTGATGTACTGTATAAAAAGTTAATAAAATCTGCATTTATTTGAAATGTATTAGAATTACGTATTGTGTAAAGCTACAGCTTTAAAACTGCGTTACTATGAGTCACAATGTGACAGAAATAACATTTTTGATGATGAGGAAATTGGATATAAGGAAGTTCTTCACTTGTGTATCTGTCATGACAGTTGTGACACAGATCAATTAATACTGATGTTTAGTTCAATTGAAAGCTGTATGCTGCTGGGTTTTGTAGGCAAGAATAGTTTTATAGTTGTGAGTGAATTGTTCATTCTGCCTAAAACTATCATGCATGCCTCTGCACTCTTAATGAACAAAAAAATATTACTCATAACTTAATTGATACTCTGAAAAACAGGTCCCAAAACAACTGTCAACAAGTCTGGCAACTCATTTAATTACAGATCTTCTACAACACAACTGTAGTGTGAACTAGAGCAATGTACGTCAACATCGGGATTAGGATTGATCTCATGCTGAAATAGGCTACTGTACACAAAAGAGCTCCTGATGTTAACCAGGATAGATTTAGCCAGCATTA